AGTTTGTAAACAGTATCATCAAAAGATCTGGCTATACTGCAGTTGTAGCTGGTGAAGTTTTACATATTCTTGAATGCAAACCCGTATATGTAACACCCAGATCTGATGACAATTGTTATCAAGAAATACCCGTAGCTTACAATAATCAAACGATGTTCATCGCCCCAGTAACACGAACATTACAAAACAGAGGCACTCAAATAGATTGTACACCCCTGTTACCAGCTAAGTTTCAAATAGGTGGAAGATGGCATACGACCGACAGTCGCATCAGGGAAACCACTGCTCCTTTAAAACTTACTACGGATATACTAAATACTTGGTCGTACACACCACTCCCAAATTTAATGCAAAGCGGAGTATACGACGCAGAAAGCGTAATAAAGATGAGAAACATGATATATGAACAAGGAGATAGACGAGTTGCGTCTAACGTATTACACAAAATCTTGATCGGTGAGCACCCAGAGTATCAAGGATTTCGTTTTGAGGCGCTCGTCTCAGACAAGTTTGTCGAAAATATAATTGGAAAATTTTGGGAGAAGTTGATGTCATGGTCTAATATGCTTGGTAACATAACATCCACGTTTATAGGAATATACATGATCAGTCGGATAATTAAATTCGCCATTGATACAATAATGCATGGGCGCATATTGTACGATATTTACGGTTTAGGTTGGCAATTGCTAGCATCATTTTGGGACTCCCTAACAAGCTTCCTTTCTCATCGAAATGCAATGAAGAGAACGTCCCAACGAGAAAACAATATAGAATTCATTAATCAGGATGAGGCAACCGCACATGTAGACATGGGTGAGCCTAGTGCACCAACAATATACCCAATCCTACCCTCGCGGAATAACGATCATATATAAGTAAACCTAGAAGGATTTACGGGCTCCGGAATGTTACCGCGAGGCAATTAATTTAAAACCAAAACCATAAGATAACCACATAGTTCTCGTTTGCATAGCCCTAGCTGACGTTGATACCAAGGCCAAGAATATGAAATGAAAAGTAGGGCAAAAGAAGCGAGAGCTCGTTTTACATAATCTAACTGCAGTATTTACATTAGGAATGCTTCTGCGTTCAAGTGGGATAAACACGCCCACGCATGGCATGTTTGCGCATCTAGGTTAAGTTTAGCTTTCCCTCTCTGTTTATCCTTAAAGAAGGATATAGTTATGATGTATAAACGTTACAAATGTCACATTCTTAATTGTAGAGCCATATCAGATCTGAGTTACAAAAAGAAATAAACTTACAAGATAACCCGAGAAATCCCAGATCTGAGAGGGCATAGTATATAAGATCCAAATAACACAAATTTACCCTTTCAAGCGCGATCGAAATCCTAGCTAATAGAATAGGCAAAATTAGGTCAAAAGTCCGGTATTGAAAGGGATATGTAAAACCCTGGACGAACCAAGTAAAAGTTTTACATAATTATAAGTTGCTATTGCAACACGTAGTCGTAAGATCACTTTGTACAATTTTGTTGAATAAAATCAAGTTTCATAGGTTACTCCAGATTCTTCTCTTTTTTGAATCCGAAAGAACTTTCGGCCTAGAAGTGAAAACTTCTCTCCTTAACGGGGAAAAAAGTAGCTCCTAGAATCGAGAAACAGTGTCTGACCTGGGAGCGAAAGACTCTCCCTAACCGGAGAAGAAAGTAGCTTTTGGCGGCGACAACGATCCTTCGCATCCACGCTGTGACTTGACACCCGGCTTGGTCAGTAGAAGTAACGAGCATTCCAGTTTGCTCATTATGACTTGGATAGCAGAACCAATCCGGATTAACGTTCCATTAGTGGTACTTACGGAAGCGATAAAACTGGGGTAAAAAAGTAACCTGAAATTGCGCAGAAAAATCATGTAATCAATCAAATTGATTGGATCCAGCGGTAGGAGTAGGTGCACTTTTACTCACTTTGGAATAAACGACACGCAGAAAAAACCCTGAGGCGTAAATTAACAAAATATTTTGTTATTACTTAATACGAAATTTCTATTTGTTTCACGCTCGGGTGCACGTTTCCAACTGTCAGCCTGTATCGACATCGTTGCTATTTATAGTTAAAAAGTTCCTCGTTATGGAAAAGCTGCCTTCAAACTTTGATCTTCAAAAGTAAGTTTAAGTTTTAAAAATTATGTCGATTAATATATTTTCTCGACAAGCAATCTTTTAACTTGCACGCTAACTTGAAAGTACTCATTAATAAGTAAAAAAGACCCATTTTGAAGAAAAGTGGCTTAACTCATTAATGATTAAACAATTTTACCCATTAATGAGTATCTGTTACCCATTAATGAGTATCTGTTACCTATTAATGATTAACAATTACTCATTAATGGGTAACAGATACTCATTAATGGGTAAAAAATTTACTCAGTTAATGAGTTAAGCCACTTTTCTTCAAAATGGGTACTTTCAAGTTAGCGTGTGCATTTGTAATTTCAGCGCTGACTTGCGATAGGGCGAAATAAGGCTACACTGTTGATCATCGACGAATTCGTTCTTTGGCACTGCATATGCAGTACCCACCCCCATAGAGATAACTCTAAGACTAGTAGGTCCCGAAGAAACGTGCTCAACTTTTTGGCTCAGCTCTGGTACTATCTTCGGTCCCAAGCCGAGATGGGTAGTCCCATTCGGATCGAGCTCAAAAATCAGAAGCACTGTTTATTGAACATGCTTATCCTTTTATACAAATTTGGTTACATTGGTTTATGTGTGGTAGAGTAAGATATCTATGGTTTAGAGTGAGACGACTGGAGTGACATATAATTTGTCCAAAATTGCTCATCCTAGCATAATCGATAAGTTTACATGTACTTTACTTAAGCGCTTGGCGTTGTCATCCGAAACCTTTCCTGCTGCGCGAACGACCTCGGACCACACCGGTAGGGTGGAGAGAGACGAGAGCGCGCTGAAAGTCCAGTATCGAGTGGCTACACATATGGCTCGTTTAGAATTGCATAATTGCATTCTTTTTACCCGGGCGTTGCCTTTGCTGTCCGGGGGTGAATGAATATTTACTGTTTTGGTTGTTTAGTTATGTCAGGGAATGGAGTATCATATTTGTTAATTTTTTATTTTACTGCAATAGGGAATGGTATACCACACCACCCCCCTTAATGAAAATAATGTAATGGAATGAAATTATTTGAAAGATTAAAGGAATTGTCGTTCTCCAGATGTCTCTTACAAATTTTTGAAATTATTAACATTTGGTTGTATTTGTGTATTTGTTGACAGTTTTAATAGGTGTGTTTTTTATGTATAGTGATTAATTACTAGTTCTAACGGAATTTTGCACTCCTCAGCGTGAAGCTGGGAACATTCACCTACCTCTTTTGTTTACTATTTTTTGATTTTCATTGTTTTTTTTTTTTTTTAGAGGTTAGGCTCGGTGGAACTCTTCTTAATATTATATTATTTTTTTATAAGTCTATTTTTGTGAACACTTATTACATTTTTTATTTCACAATTGGGTTCGTTTATTGACATAACAATATATGGTCCTATATAAAATGAATCAAGTTTTCTCCTATTTTCGTTTTTCAAATATACAATATCATTTATAACAGTATAAATTGGATTTACTTGATCATCGAATAGTGTTTTCCTTTTGTTTTTCTGCTCTAATAATTTTTGTTTTGCTATTTCATGTGTTTGTTGTAGCTTATATTGAAGTTCTTTTTTGTATGATTCGAAATTATATATTCGTTCATTCTTGTTCTGAATACAATCTTGTGGTGTATTAGCTTTTCTTCCAAAGATGAGTTCAAATGGTGTAAAGTTGTGTTCTGTGTGTGGCGTTGTGTTGAATGAAAATTCGTAATATTTTATCCATTCATCCCAATCTGATTGGTGTTCATTAGTGAAGGATCGCAGGTACTCATTGAGACACCTGTGATTTCTCTCTAATGCTCCGATTGATTCGGGGTGATAGGGTGTTGAGAATGTTTGCCTAATTTGTAATAATTTGCAGATCTGTGCAAGGATCTCGTTTTTATACTCTGTTCCTTGGTCAGATCTCATTTCTGTAAAGTATCCATAAGTCAAGATATAATGTTCGACTAAAGCTTTTGCTATAGTATTTGCTTCTTTGTTCGGTATTGGAATAATTACTATATATTTTGTTAAATCACACTGAATAGTTATACAGCAGCGATTGTTATTTATGGTTCTAGGTAGTGGTCCTACCGTGTCTATGGAAATAATTTCGAAAGGTTTTGATGGTGTAGTTGTAATTGTCATTGGTTCTTTAGTATGTTTGATAATTTTGTTTCTTCTGCACAGTTCGCAGGCCTTAACGAATTGAGAAATAGATCCTTTCATATTATGCCATTTTTAGTTTTCTCGGAGACGTAGATAAATATGTATTTACTTTGTATTTTACTGCAATAGGGAATGGTATACCACAAAGGCACTCAAGGACAACACGTTCTACAACTCATTAACACAGCAAATGGTGCAATAGGCTAATTGATTAATAAATAAATAAATAAACAGTGGCTCAGTAAGCAACTTGTTTGTAACCAGAATTGATTTTGAAACAATAAAAAATACGTTTCAAGGCAACTAAAAACGTTAATTACTTTAAATAATGCAAGCAAACATTTGTTTGAATCAATAAAAACCGATGTTCCATTCAATAAACATAGAAGTATTATTTCAACTCAATGTTGTTGTTGAATTACTCCATCAATTTTATTGATCCATATTCTATTCAAAATTTTGTTAAAAATGATACGAATTTTGTTTGGTTGAACTATGTTTTTTTCTGCGTGCGAGATGAGCATGTTCGGCTCAATTTTGACTCGTCGCGAGTTACAGTGTAGTTCCACTTTCAACGAAAGTGAGTGGATTCTTACTCACTTTTGAGTATAATTAAACGGGCGTGTAAAATGTGTGGGCAAGTGATACCCATGAACGTACCCCGCCGGACAGAACAAAGTAAAAGCATAAGTGAAGTAAAAATCGTATTCATGAAGAAAAACCTCGGGAGAAAATCTTTGAAAAATATTTGATTTTATTTGAACAACTCGTCCAAATGACTGTTTGATTACATCTTGAACAGTTCTGTGGTATGGTGATAGTAAAAGTTACCAGATAAATCAAGGGGAGCCTTCTAAAACGAATAGTTAAAATGACCAGTGCAAATCGCTTCACTTCGCCCACGCCTTCGACCGCTGGGTTGGTGGGCCCCAGCAGCAGCAGTTCGCTGGCTTCCGGATCAACACCGGGGCCCTCGCCAAGTGCGGCTAACAAGTGGAAACGGATGCTGGAATGCGACGAGTTTGTAGGGGCCCGGCGATCCAAGCATACGGTGGTGGCATATAAGGATGCGATTTACGTCTTTGGGGGGGACAATGGAAAGAATATGCTGAACGATCTGATCCGGTTCGGTGTGAAGGACAAATCTTGGGGTAGAGCGTTTTCGACGGGAACTCCACCGGCTCCAAGGTATCATCATTCGGCGGTCGTCCACGGGACGTCAATGTTTGTGTTTGGCGGCTACACGGGGGATATTCATTCGAATTCGAATTTGACAAACAAGAACGATCTGTTTGAGTACAACTTCCAGAATGGCCAGTGGACGGAATGGAAGTTTGTTGGCAGGACGCCGGTGCCGAGAAGTGCCCACGGGGCGGCAGTTTTCGATAATAAACTGTGGATCTACGCTGGGTACGATGGCAATGCTCGGTTGAACGATATGTGGACGATTCGATTGACGGGAGAAACGCATCAGTGGGAAGAGGTGCAGCAGAAGGGAGATCGTCCGCCGACATGCTGTAATTTTCCGGTGGCCGTGGCTCGAGGCTGCATGTATGTGTTTTCCGGACAGAGTGGACTGCAGATTACAAATACGCTGTTTCAGTTCAATTTTAAAGATAAGACGTAAGTTGAAGGTCTAGTTGAGATGGTCTGGAGGGGAGTTAACGATTTCTGTTTTCAGATGGCGTCGAATCTCCAACGAGCATATCTTGAGGGGTGCTCCACCGCCGCCAGCACGGCGCTACGGTCACACCATGGTGCATCACGACCGGTTCCTGTATGTTTTCGGAGGAGCGGCTGATTCTACTCTTCCGAACGATTTACACTGCTACGATCTGGATTCGCAAGTTTGGTCGACGGTCATTCCAGCACCGGAATCTCAAGTCCCCAGTGGTCGACTGTTCCACGCGGCGGCGGTCATCGGGGATGCCATGTACATCTTCGGCGGGACAATTGATAACAACGTTCGCAGTGGGGACATGTACCGGTTCCAGTTTTCCAGCTATCCCAAGTGTACGCTGCAGGATGATTTTGGAAAGTTTCTGCAAAATCGGCAATTCTGCGATGTACAGTTTGTGGTCGGGACGGACGAGGTCAAAGTGCCGGCTCACATTGCGATGATCGTTGCGCGGTCACAGTTTCTAAGATCCAAAATTTTGTAAGTCAATTTTGTCGTTTTTTGAAACTCTTCTCTATCAGGTTTTGCGTTTCAGAGCGGCTCGCGATGCTAGAAATCTGCATTTTGAAAAGCTTTTTGGAACTACGGAAGTTCCTTTTGCCGAGCGTCCCATACTGGAGGTGCAACTGCCGAACGCCCAACCAGAAGCTTTCGAAATGGTTCTCAATTACATATATACGGATAGAATTGATTGTAAGTACCATTTGTGCTCCGCCTAAGACAGAAACTAATATGCATGCAATTCTCTTTTCCAGTCAAGGATCCTTTTTGCAACAAAATTGTTAGCCTCATGATGGACGTCTACCAACTAGCCGTCCAGTTCTACATTCCCCGATTGGAGCAACTCTGCGTCCAATATCTCGAGTTCAAAATATCCAAAACCAACGTCCTGGATGCTCTCTACAACGCTGACCGAATGGGCCTCACCCTCATCAAAGATCACTGCTTGGGCTTCATCACCAAAGAGGACCACTTCTACGATATCGTCATGTCACCGGAATTCGCCGCACTGGAGAAGCCACTAATCGTGGAAATCATCCGCAAGCGACTGAATCCGAGCAAACATTCCACCGAAATGAAGTACGATAAAACAATTGGCACTTCATTAGAAAATGACATGGCCCTGTTCCTAAAATCGGGAGGGAAAGAATTTTGCGACATCAACTTGGTCCTGGAAGGGACGATAATTCCGGCACACAAATCTATTCTGGCTGCCAGGTGCACCTACTTCCAGGCCATGTTCCGATCGTTTATGCCGGTTGATAACACCGTGAATGTAAGTTGACAATTTTCCAAGGTAGTTCCAAATTAAAGTTCAAATTTTCCAGATCCAAATCGGTGACATCTCGCCCTCCCAGGAAGCGTTCAACTCGCTTCTACGCTACATCTACTACGGTGACACGAAGATGCCCCCCGAAGATTCGCTCTATCTTTTTCAGGCCCCCTGTTTCTACGGATTCACCAACAACCGACTGCAGGCCTTCTGCAAGCACAACCTAGAGAACAACATCACCTACGACAATGTGCTACAAATCCTGGAAGCGTCCGACAAAATGAACGTGCCGGACATCAAGAACTACGCCCTCCGCATGGTGGTGCACAATTTCTCCCAGGTGGCACGGCTGCCGAAAATGCAAGAATTGACCCGGGAGCTGCTGCTCGATGTGATTATGGCCGTGGCCGATACCAAGGGGGACACCAAACGAATCAGCCACGATTCGACCTTCATCAGCCTGTACAGCGACATTTGAAGGATAGCGTTTCTACAGCCGGTTCTCAGTATCCTCCTGGCGTGGATGCGGAACAATAACGAGCTGCCCTAAGAACAGTATTGCCCGTACCGGTGGCCAAATTCTCAATTGGATCTTGAAACAGGTCAAGCTATTCTCAGCATTATCAATAGCGATGTTCTTGATGTGATTGGCTTACACAATGAATACTAATTTGAATCAACACTCTCAATTATAATAGTTCAAAAAGATGTTTTCGTCTATAAGCATAATCAAGGTTCTAACTGATATGAAAAGTTTAAGATAAACAATTATCCAAGTTAAAATTATTAGAATCCGAATAAATTATATTAGTGTTATACACTTTACTAGCTTTTATCGTGTAACTTGTAGAACGTGTGAAATAGTGAAATAAATGAGAATACTAGCAAATTGAATTGCCTACGATACTTTAATACGCTTTCATTCTTTCCACGTTACTCTGTGGCTACTATTATAATACCTAGTCGATAAATTAAAATCGAGTGCTTGAAAATCGCAAGCATTGGGGTACTGATTAGGCCTGTCAGTCTAATCAAAATTTAGTTGGCTTATCAATTTCAAAAAGTCACTGCGAGTGAGGTGACTCTCAATTTGATTTGCACGGAGATTCAACTCTAGGGCTGGGCGATCTTGGGTCGATCTTTGGAAGAGCGATTTTTTTCATCCCGATTCATTCCCGATGAGATGAGTGCACGGATGGATTTGAGTTCACTCACTCGAAAAAAAAGTGACACAACAGCGGGGCCCTGTTTACTAAAAATGAACACATGAATAATACTCACACGGTGTTTCGTGAAAACCCATTTATGGGTAAAAAAATACCCATTTTCAAACCATGTATGGAGCTGTCAAAAAATGGGGGAATTTGGAAATCATAAAATGGGTGAAAAAATACCCATTTAAAGAATCAGTTCACGATTGCATAATGGGTATATTTTTTACCCACTAATGGGTGAAAAAACACTTGGAATTTTTTTCGTTTCATTCCGTCACCACCATTGCGACCATGGAAATGCAAACAGTTTCCGTCTGCTTTTTTTTTAAGCAAAAATGGACGATCTCCGGAAAAGGTTAGATTCCGAAACATTGGAGAGACTTACGGATAAGTCTATACAGTGTTATCCAATATGATATTATAATATCTCGTGTAATATTTTTTCACTACACCTGCATTTATTTACAATGTAAATATTAGAAAGTTTTTTATTTCAACGAGGACAAATAACCCAGCATCAGCATCCTCCATTTTAAGAAATTGGTATTTTTTTACCCATTTTACGAAAAACACAATTTAAGAAGATGGGTAAAAAAACACCCATTTATTGACAGATACCCCATTTACCCATTAATGAGTAAACCATAGTTTACCCATTAAATGAGGAGAGGCACTTTTAGCGGAAATGGGTGTTTTTATACCCATTAATGGGTTTTTGCGAAACACCGTGCACGTCGAGACTCACGTAACATTTGAAACCGGCCTATCAACTTTCGTACACAAAACTTGTTAAACCTTTTTCGCGCGAACCGAATACGCCCACGCAAACTAACATCACCATCGGGTAGGGGAAATTCTCCCCTTTCCAATTGGCAAATCTAAGTTGGCACTCGTGGAGAATAGAAGAATTAAGAAAGTGATGTAGGTTTCAAAATTTTACACGGTGAGGTATACGAGTGCAATCTTAAAATGCTTTTATTTTGCAAATGGAGCATTTTATTTAAATCTTGTTAATGCTACGTTAGTAGAAAACTTAAGGACTATTCAATAGACATATAATATAGAAAAAATCATATCTGTTCCGATTTTTAGGTGTACACATAGATTTCAGCTTTTCTACAACTGTAGCAGCACAAACGAAGTGACAGATGACTAACTGGCGAAGAAATCCATTAAAATAATGTGGTTCACTGTAATAGAATTTTCTTGGAAGCTTGTGCCATCATCCACCAGATGGGTTAGTTTTTTTGTTTTGATTTGAACAAAGTTGATTTTGTGTACAATGATTCTTTGACAGTGTGCAAAGAGTGCGTATCATTTTGTCATTTTTTTATGCATTTCAGTTTTGAGTAGAGTGAAAGAGATAGAACCAAAATATTCTAGTACATTTGGTGAAAATGCTAGTTCAATCACGGAACCGAATTTTGTTCATTTAAATCAAAAATATAAATGTTCATTCTATAAACATATGATTAATTCAAAATAAATTAAAAACATGTTTGCAACAAAAATATATATGTTTGAATTAAAGTCAAAAGCATGTTTATTTCAACAATATAGAATTTGGGTAAACGATTTTTAGCGTGCCCTGCCTTTTTTTTCCTTCTTGTTTTCATTCGGAAAAAAAATGCCCCAATCAACTGAAAACGGCCCGCAACAAAACCGAAATCATGGATTCGGAAACCCACCTAGGTAAGTGTCTTAATAAAGTTCCGGCTCGATAAAACCGGAGGAACCCCAGCGGTATCGACGTCGCTCTCTCGTTTCTGATGCCGATCCTTTATCATCCTCCTCCACAACTGACGTTGAAAGAAAAACGAAAATCCTAAATAGATTTTGAATCTATTCCGGATCCTCCAGTCCCCCCTCCTTGAACACCGAACGTAGAAAGAGGCCGGCATGAGGACCAGCGTTGGAAACGACAAAACTACGCTGATATCACAAAGTTTCACTGGTTTTACTGAACTGAAACTTCCGGACACTCACCCCGACGGGTCCCCGCATCTCGGACCAGGACCCAACATCCACTCCACAGCTTACCCATAATCGCACCCGAAAAAGAGCAAAAGCTTAGATGCAGATCGTTTTTTCATCTCTTTGCAATCCATTTTTTTGCTTTATCCTGCTAATATAATTTAAAATTAAGTATGTTTCTTTCAAACATATAAGAAGCATGTTTAAAATAAACATATTTATTTTTGTTCACATACTTGTCAAACCAAACAAAAATATTCACGTTTATTTTCAACACGAATATTTTTAAAATAAACGTAACATTATTGTTGTTTTAAACATTAATATCACATGACTTCAAACATGGAATACGTTTGAAATAAACCTTGTTTATTTTTGTGGCCAGAACAAACTGAGTTTACGTTTAAATTTACCTCAAATATTTTTGGTTCAACGATAAATTTTTCTGCGTGATCCAATAGTAGTGTTGCCATGTGGTACAATCCAGTAGTAGTGGTGTTGCCATGTGGTACACTGAAAAATTGCAATAGCAGGTTAGTCACCAAAGTTTTCGAGCCGCTCCGTCTGTCACTTCGTTTGTGGTGAAAGAGATAGAACCAAAATATTCTAGTACATTTGGTGAAAATGCTAGTTCAATCTAGTAGTAGCACAAACGAAGTGACAGACGGAGCGGCTCGAAAACTTTGGTGACTAACCTTCTATTGCAATTTTTCAGTGTACCACATGGCAACACCACTACTACTGGATTGTACCACATGGCAACACTACTATTGGATTGAACTAGCATTTTCACCAAATGTACTAGAATATTTTGGTTCTATCTCTTTCACCACAAACGAAGTGACAGACGGAGCGGCTCGAAAACTTTGGTGACTAACCTGCTATTTAAATTTTTCAGTGTACCACATGGCAACACAACTTCTACTGGATTGTACCAAATGGCAACACTACTATGGATTGTACTAGCATTTTCACCAAATGTATTAGAATGTTTTGGTTCTATCTCTTTCACTCTACTCAAAACTGAAATGCATAAAAAAATGACAAAATCAGTGCTAACATTTGAAAACGGCGCAAAAGCCATTTGTAAACAAATGGTTTGTGGGCCCTTTACTCGCTACCCGAAGAACGCCCACGCAAACCAACAGCATCGTCAGGAAGGGGAAAATTTCCCCTACCCGATGTTGCTGTTGTGTCGCGTGGGTGTACTTCAAGTAGTGAGTAAAGGGCCCACAAACCATTTGTTTACAAATGGCTTTTGTGCCGTTTTCAAATGTTAGCACTGAAATGATACACTCTTTGCACACTGTCAAAGAATCATTGTACACAAAATCAACTTTGTTCAAATCATAACCAAAAAACTAACCCATCTGGTGGACGATGGCAGAAGCTTCCAAGAAAATTCTATTACAGTGAACCACATTATTTTAATGGATTTCTTCGCCAGTAAGTCGTCTGTCACTTCGTTTGTGGTAGTAGTGTTGCCATGTGGTACATTCCAGTAGTAGTGGTGTTGCCATGTGGTACACTGAAAAATTGCAATAGCAGGTTAGTCACCAAAGTTTTCGAGCCGCTCCGTCTGTCACTTCGTTTGTGGTAGCAGCAACCAGATTTAAATAAACTGCTTCATTTGCAAAATAAAAGCATTTTAAGAGCAACCGTAACGGTCGTTGTCATTTGCGCGACTATTTTAACAGCGCACAGCGCTCTCATTTTAGTTTAGTCACTCTTCTCCACACCGGTCGCTGCTATCGCGGTTATCAATTTACTCGCCGTAGTCCGTACCGGTAGTGAGTATTTTGACATGTCTACGAATAGCAACCTTTCTCTCGCGCTGCTAAATTTGGTAACGCGCTTCTCACCGAGAAGCCGACTGCTATTTTAGTTACTCGTATGGCAACCCCCGATACGGTAGCTGCGCTATGATGAGGGCTGCTAAAATGAGTTTAGCAGCGTACCGTTACGGTTGCTCTAAGATTGCACTCGTATACCTCGCCATGGAAAACTTTTAAAACCATCATCACTTTCATAGTTCGACAGTGAGCATGCATAAGGGCGTATACGCGATGATCGATTCTCTTAATCGATTTTCTCTTTGCATTGCTACAGCTAAGCGGAACAATTTTGTAGAATTTGTTCAATGTAGAGTTGTAACAGGTTGCATTGCCTATCAAAAGCAAAAGCAAACGCACTGACCTGGGACGGGACTTGACAATCGGGTAGCGATTTCGAGCCAATTTTCTGTCAAATCCGAGCCAGTTTCTGATTGGTCGATTTGACAGTAGCAATCGTGGAATAAAAAGGATAGAGGGATCGCATCAATCTGGCTGGCAGTGATGCCGGAATCAATGTTGACGTCAATGGCGTTGTTATTTGTTTATATTTGCGAAAGGTGAGTTGAAAAATTGAGTGCACTGCGTGTTTTAAGCTATGGATATTGTTGTTTGTTTATGGTTAATTTTATTGTGTTGAGCAAAAATGATGTTCAAGCTGCTAGACTGCGGTAGAAACTCCGGATAAAATCCAAATTTAAAGTAGAAAAATATTTTACATTCCTGGCATCATTGGTCTACTCCTTCAAACACCACGCGCAACTTTCCGAAGGGCATTCTTCAAAAACATTAAGAAGAGTGAGAAGCTCGATTGTCACGTCCCGTCCCGGTAGATAACCAATGCTATGCAGACAGATGCCGTACTTTTT